CTGTGTCCAGTTCTGGGCTCCCCACTACAAGAGAGACATGGAGCTCCTGAAGCAAGTCCAGCAGAGGTCTACTAAGATGATGAGGGGACTGGAGCACCTCTCTCATGAGGAAAGGCTGAGAGAGCTGGGCCTGTTCAGCCTGAAGAAGAGAGGACTGAGGGGGGATCTGATCAATGTGTATAAGTGTCTGAAGGGAGGGTGTCAAGAGGATGGGGCCAAACTCTTCTCAGCGGTGCCCAGCGATAGGACGAGAAGCAATGGCCACAAACGGAAACACAGGAAGCTCTATCTGAATGTGAGGGAAAAACTTCTTTCCTGTGAGGGTGACTGAGCACTGGCACAGGTTGCCCAGAGAGGTTGTGGAGTCTCCTTCGCTGGAGATATTCAAAAGCCATCTGGACACAATCCTGGGCAACGTGCTTTAGGCAACCCTGCTCGAGGAACCTCAACCATTCTGCAATTCTGTGAATCAGCTGAAGATCAGCATACGGGGAACATAACATAACACTGATTTCGTCAGCTGTGGCCCATAAATTATTGATTATTTAGAAGACAGTAGAAAGGCACCAGCCAAGTTTTTGCCAACCCACCTCCTCAAGAGACATAAGTAGGAGAAAATAAAAAAGGGAATAATAAAAGTAACAAAGCATTCAAATCCTTACCTATTTTTCATTGGATTTCAGCAATGATACAAGAAAGACTGTAGATCTTCCCCCATCTTCCTTGGAGGTTTGATAAACTTTCAATTAAAAACAGAATTTGAGAAGAGCACGGCTCTGTTTGTATTAGCAAGTAGGGCAGCTTAACAGGAATAGACCTGAAAGAGGCAGGCTGAGGACCTGGCACCCACTCTGCACACGTTTCAGACTAGCCCTAGCCCAGCCCTTTGGGCTGAATGCCCTTTGGTGACTGGCACACGTCCTCCAGCTTTCCTCCAAAAGGAAGCTTGTCCATGTGCTGAGAGGTCACTCCAAGATGTGAGCCAAAGTACAGTTAAATGAGGACAAACTAAGCATAAGCAAAAGATGTAGTTTTCTACCACTGCCTGTTTAATGTAAATCAAGCTAATCCTCTACCAAAAATAAAATAAAACAAAACAAAATAAAATAAAGTCACTTCTAGGCTTAAGAGGAGAAAGTGGTCCTCCTAGATTGTAAGATGACACAGGTAAAATACAGAAAAGTGCAGTCTGATATTGTTTTGGATAATCTAGTGTCAATAGAAGTTGATATGTACAACTTCTAATACTAGCATTCATCAGCTTGTATCCTGCTGCATTTGGCTCACTTGCACAGAGGTTTTAAAGCCACCTAGCATAAACAAACTAGGAAATTTTACTCACACCTGCTCATATCACACGCAGAGTTTAAATACAGGTTTTAAAGTAAAAAAAAATTAAAAATAAAAACAGAAAACCCCATACTTTTCTCTCCCTTTCCTATCTTCTTCTCTATAAGGAAATAGGCAAAACAGTGTGAGTCACTAACTGAACAGCAGAAGAGAGGAGCTATTTGTCACAAATACAAAAGAAAAAGACAAAAAGAAAGATTTAAGTGATGCTTACGTCAGAATCAAGACCTCAAAGAACTCTGCACTAAGATACTACAAGTTCATCCAAAATTTATTTAAAAAACAATGATTCCTCATTTAAACTACACACTGATTTGGCTGGGGAGATCAAATGAAGGAAACAAAAAGTTATTACAAACTAATATAGAATAAACAAAAAATAAAAACTCCACTGCTTCTGGAGTGTTACTTTCTGTACCATCCGCCCACAGAATCTATCCGCAATATAACAAGATATCCTTGGGGCAGACTTGTTAGCACATCCACATAGAGCTTGTTAGCCCAAATGCAGACAAATGAAAAGCGTAGGTGGACGTTAAGTCCAACCTGAAATAAGCAAGCAGCTTTCCTGAGTTTCAACAGAGCTATAATTAAGATGGTATTTCAGCTCAACTTCCTCCTTTTCTAAAGTGTTTAAATGCTATTATATCTAGAAGATGGAGGACTTTTTTTCTTTTAATTCTTTGCTTTAAAACAGAAAGATGTCAGCTCTTCAAACATCCATTTTCCTTCCTGTTCAGAAACAGCACTACTGCAGTAACAGATCAGACTCCTGATTTTGTGGCAAGAGTCAGTAATTTCACACTCAAGCACCACCTTTAATTTTCTTTCCTGAATTAGAGGCTGAGCGTGGTACTGGAAACTCAGCCACCTGTCAAAGGCAAAATACCACTGCCAAGCGAATTGGCGCTGTCCCGCTGTGAGCATGGGAAAGGGAGTTCTGGACTGGGCCGGTCCTGGGAGATGCCGGCTGTCACCAATGCCTCTCTCAAGACATCAGGGCTCCCGGCTCCTGGCCAGGTGCTGGCCCTTCTGCGTACCTCTGCATCCTCAGCACCTGTGTCGCAGGTCATCACCCCTTCCTTTGGGCAAGGCTAACTCTTCGCACAGACCAGACCGTCCGACATCGACAGGGCACGGGCTAACAAAAGCGCTGTGCTCTAACTGATTACATTTAAACCCAGCTGTTTAGACGTGATTTACACAGATATAAGCTAGATAAAACCAGTACACTCTAGGCCACTTCATATTTCAGGTTTTAAAAAGGTCAGTGATTTACTAAGACAATAATGACAAGAGACCTCTGTTTTTACTGATGTCTATATTTTAAAACTTTGAGTAAGATTTACTCAGGCTTCATAATATAAAATAACTTTCAGGATCTTCAGTGAAATTACAACAAAATTTAAAAAGAAAAAAACCTGATTTCTAGTTAAATTGTTATCTTTAAATACTACCCTTCCATGGCTCTGCAAGATCTCCACGACCTTCTCCAGGGCTTTGGGTGGAAACACCGGATGCAAGCATACTAAATCATCTTGCTGCTGATGCAGGAATTAATCATCTTCTGAGTCACTGTCCCCCCTAGTTGGGGCACACATCCTGACTGAGGACATGAGCTGGTCCTGGATCTGCTTCCTAGGATTTTCCTCAAGGTCTGTCTTGATGGCACCTGACTCTGCAATCTTCCACTCCAATTCTGCGTGGAAAAAGATAAAGAGTGACAGCAATCCAGGGGTATAAAATTGGGCTTTTTCAACCTCTAACTCCTTTTGACATATCCTAGCTTTTTTACCTCAATACACAGCACCCTGCCTTTCTGGCTGATTTTCACACGGGGAAAAAAGGGACCCCAGATCTCCACATTTCTCCTTTGTCCTTCCCACCCCCGCGTCCCCAAATGACTTCTCCTACCACCATCACCTTCAAACCTGGGGACCTGCTCTATTCCTCCCCATCCTCTAGCAGCTTGGTCCCTGGTCCCAGGCTCTGCCCGTCTCCCACACCCGCTCCAGTTCAGCCAGCTCCAGAGCCGCTAGCCCCAGCACAAATTTCAGCCACAGCGCAGAGCCACTGATGTAGAGGCTCTGGTTACCACCCCGTAGCGCACTGACAGCATGCTCTGTGCCCCCGTTTAAGGCAGAGGCTCCCTGATACTGAACGTAAAGAGGTGATCAATACAAAGCAGCCTCTGTAGATAAAGCATTTTTTTCCTGGTGAAGAAGCCGCCCACCGCCTTACTCAAGTGAGTACACAAACCAAGTTTGCACATCTGTTGCTGGTGAAAGAATACTTATGATACATTAGAGCTACTTGAAATCATACGCTGAGTTTACACAGTCAAAAGAGACAGAGAATAAATCATTTCCTGAAGGGCAAAAAAGCTGCAGTAATTCCATTTACACATAGGAATTATAGGTATTCTCAGGAACGTACTTTAAAAATTTAATTCACTCCTTTCCCACTACTCAATGCACTGATTATTAGTTCCTTAGCAAGAGGGTAAAAGAAACTCCTTTGTTAGTAGTAGGCCTACTACTGTATAGGCCTAAATTGGATTGCTTCCCAGAAGTGGTAGAAAGTCAATACAACACATTCAGTTGAAACTTTTATCCTACTCCTGCTGGCAACCCTATCATTAAATCCAATTAAATCCAATTTCCTTCAGACATTACAGAGCAATGAATATAACCTCACACTTTCTTTAATCTCCAATGGAAGTCATCCGGTTTCACAGACTTAGGGGAAAAGGAAGGAAGAAAATAAGAAAACGTACAATTTCAGTACCCAGCTTTGTGAGGACTTAGTTAAGCTGGTTCAGTTACCTTTTGACAACCCCCCCTCCAAAAATAAAAATAAAAATCAAGTGTTAAGACGGGAGAAAGATAACTGAAGGTTCTGCAGCTATCGTTTGCTTCAGCTTAAAATTAGGCACCACTACATTTAGAGACAGTTCTCAAATTAACGATCTCATCGGTGAGTGAGCCTTTCCGCTTCTTATAGTCCAGGCAGAGAACCATTTGCTACAGCACACACTCAAGATAACCTGTGAACTCTAGCATTTTAGAGAAAACTTCTTTGCGCCCTATGCTGGTACAGTGACATCATTCAACAGAGACTTACCTGTAGTTCACTTCAGCTAAAAATGACCTTAAATTCTCACCTTAAAAAAAAAACTTGAAGTTACCTGGACTAACATATCTACCCAGAAAGCTGGAGAATATCCAAGTAATTCAAGTAAAATCCTTTAAATCACATCAGAGTTGCATTTACTTTCCAAAAGGAAAAAAAATTAGAGTCCTTTCCACTGCAGACCTCTGTCTCCCAGCACTGCTTTAGGGTATAATTTCCTTCCCAACCACCTTCAAATAACAGCTTTTAGGGAAGAGCCTCAGCACAGGGCACCATAGTACAAACCTCCCTCTCACTCCCATCTCCGGGGCCAAACGAAGCACATCGTAAGGATGAGGCAACGTGACATGACCCCCTCAGACTGCTTAAAGGAGCAAGGAGGAAGTGGGCTAGACAGAACTGTGGCCTCCAGGAAAGGCAATGGTCTCTCTCCCATGGGGCCCCATGCACCCCAAACCACGCAAGGTGGGAGCTTAAAATACCGCTGTCTCTTGAGAGGTGGCAAGAAGAAAAGGAAAGAGCCCAATTTCAGGCTCGTAGTCCCATTTGGGCAAAGAGAAGGACTCTCTCTAAAGGTGAATAAGGAATGGAGTCTGTGTGTCAGGAAGGTACGACAGACAAGAAGAAGTCATTAGCTTTAAAATGAAACAAAAAGCCTGACAATACAAAAGAGACCAGCACCAATGTTATACAGATTGTCAACCACCTTGGGGCAATATCAGTTAATTGGCTACAGAAAATTCCCAAGAATGTGCATGGTTACTATTTTTGCTTGTGATATACAGGAGACTCAGTTTAACAGGACACAGGGTGTAAATACTGCACACACCTAAAACATATATCTGCCTATTCAACCACTCGCTGCTTTTACAAGACAGTTTAACCAAATGTTGAGCCAGAAGTGTGGGAAAGAACCTAACAACAACTCATGACATGATTTTAACGACCTCCCTCTCCTTCTAACCCTCACTTCACTTCCTTCATTCCCAGCAAAGCTGTTTGCTAAAGTTTTGTTTTTCTTTTCCAAGATCTAAGATGCAGACACTCACCATCTCTTGTCAAGTTCATGCCGCCAAACACCAAGGGCCCGATGAACTGGGCTTTGATGTCTCCCTCGAGGTAGACGAATATCGTAGGCAGGTTCTTATCAGGGTAGTTGGGTATGCAGGTGGTAGAGATCGCTTTGATAAATTTCACATCTTTGAACTTCCTTGCAAGCCCACTCATATGTTGATTTATTAAGGCACAGAGTGGAATTCTGCAAAGAACAGCAACAAACACAGGTAAGAAGACAAGCAAGAAGACAAATTAGAGTCATCTGCTCCAGAAGAAAGGGCAGAAATACCAGCTCAGTGAACAGTACTTATGGACAAATGTACCAGAAGCAATTTCTGAATATTTTTGTTGTCCAGGATGCCGGTGTTCAAAGGAAATTAGCATTTAAAAAAGTATTAGCAATACAGCATCCAACTTTCCCCTCTACTGGTTTATAAGGTATGAGGCTTGAACACTGCATGACTAAGGGCATAACAGAAAGAGAAGCAACTCCCGGAAAAGAGAAGCCAAAGACAACAAAGTATACCTGTGATGGAATTAATGACAAACAAAATCAAATATTTCTAATCTCTTCCAGAAAATCCTAGCAACTAATCAGATTTCTTCGAGAAGATTTTCCACCATGCTGGCAGGACTGAAAACCTTGTTCATGCCATTTCTATGCATCAGGAAAACAGGCTAAAGGAGACAAACAGTGATCCTTCTAAATGCATAGCCCCTAGCACTTTCTTTATCCAGAATAATTTCCAAAGCTCAGTATTTCAGTGGCAGCAGCTAGCTAGATGGGAAGACATAACACACTGTGCAGGAAATACAAAATAATGCCACTTTGTGATAGCATCCTTTTAAAGCAAAGTTAAGCAGTCTTCAGTCAACAGTAATGAAATTACTAATTCAATATTTTGCTTCTTAGAACTCCAGAACCAATTCCTTAATTTCCACAATAACCACAAATTTGTCTAGCGCATTGACAGTGAAAGGTTTACACGTTAAAAAAAAAAAAACTTACCCTTGTTTGTAAAGGTGCAGAACTACCCATATACCTTTTCCAGCTTTGGTAACCTCTTGAACGTAATCTTTTCCCGAAATTTCCAGAACTTCCCCAAATTTATTCTTCATTTGAGCTGCTTTCATTTCTGCTAACCTCTGCTGCCTGAACATCAAGGAATGGGAAAGAGATCTTGAGAAAGTCATATTTTTGAAGAGCAACATTTAAAGTAGCTGGTTGAAGCCTAGGCTTCAGAAGCAGACTACAAACTTGTCCAAACTCCCAGAACGACAAAAGCAGGTTAGCATAGGCCAAAGTAGATGTTCGTATATTTGAATCACAGGTTAAAACAGTCAGCATGCAAGAAGCACAATTGTGTTTCACAAGACCAATTTCTTTGTCATTTCTCCCTTCAGCAGACATTTCTTCTGCAGATACTACACTGCAAAAACATGAGAGATGGCTCGTGTTTCATGAGATAAAAAGACGATTGATTTCATTTATGTAAAAGCTGAGACAACTTGGAGGCAATTTTCAAAGGTCTTAGAATCATCTGCTTTTCACTGAGTAGGTCCACAGTATCTCTGCAAAACTAGGTTGTGGGCAAAGGACAAAAATTGAATCCAAGTATTTTATTAAACATACTTAGTAAGTTCCACATGAGACCAGAAGCACAACCCAGATTTTCTAGCACCAGGCCTACAAATATCCCTCCTCCCTTCTCTTCAACAATATCTAATGGCATTTGAAAAGAACCAACCCGCTCCTCCTCCCAAAAAAACTAACTCTAATTTTCATTAGAGATAAATTCCGCATGCTGCTCTAACCTGTACATTTCGATAGCTTTTTCATCTTCCTCATTAAACTCATCTTCATTTTCTTCTAGCTCTTCCAGAGTCATGTCCTCATAAGTTTTCACTAGAATGGAAGAAATATCAAATCAGCAAAACTCTCGTTCCGGGAATAAAACTGATGAGCTTTAGCAGTCCAGCAGAATTTCTTTACTTTGAGGATGGGAAAACTATTGGAAATAGGGTTTTTCTGCAGGATTGTTGTGAGTGGATTTTTCTAAAATGTTATTATACGCTTTAGACATATAGGTGGAAAGATAGTGACGTAAAGGACTTGGAGCCAAAGGCTGGCTACAGCTAGGATATGAGTACCTGAGCTAGCGTTCAAGTTCTGCAACTACAGCAGGGACATACCTTGCAATAGAGTAGGGATAATGAACAACAGAGGAAGGAGGATGCACACAACAGGTAACAGTGATGAGATACCTTCACTTGCACATTCATTCTGACTCCTTTCAAACTGTTTTTGTTTCATCTTTCAAAGATTTGTATATATAAGTCATAGGGCTGACACCTACAACAAAGCTTTTGTGTGCTGGAGTAATTCCATGTATTTAGGGATGTATTTGTCCAGTACTGTAACAGATGGTGACACTATGCAAGAATTAGCTTTGGTATGCCTTATAGCTTTAGAAAAGGAAACATTGCTTTACAGGCATATTAAACAGTATTGCTGGGCGCTTCTTTGTTCAAGCTTCCTACAGAAGCCATTTCAACGTTTATCCTGCTGCCGCCTGAGCCTGCCTGTCCACTCACCGAGAGACTTCTGCTGCAGGATCCGAAGCTGCTCATCTTCCTTTGCCTGCTCTCGTTCTTTTAGGTCTTCCTTTGGAGGAAGGATACCTTTTTTGCGCAAGACGTCATTCCACTCTGTGTCTTCATTTGGGTCCTAGAAGGAAACAAGAAACAGCGATGAGCGTTTAAGGAAAACTTTGCCATGTCCAGAAATTAACGCAAGCAAGTTTTTCAAGAGAAATAATGCACTGCTAGAGCAGTAATTTTCAAGACCGTATCAGAACGACACAGTCTTCCTTACGGCCACGAATTGGTACTCAGAAAAGTGACTTTTTTAACCCCAGCCTACTCAGAGCATGTACAGGAGGTCTTGGCAGGGCAAAAAAAAAAAAAAATTAAAAGCATTATAATCATCACTGTAGCTCTTGCAAGGCAAAAGGAAAGGAGAAGAAATCAACTGGGTGACAGGGGAAGCAGGCTGGCTACAGCGCTCACCTACAGCACCTCAGCAGAACAACAGGTCACCAAATTAGCAGTCATTACATTGGGAAGGGCTGGTTAGAAAACATGCCGGCTCCAGCCCTGCTGACATGACTCTGAACATAAACAAAACCTCATTGGTAGATTCAGGCCAGTATGACTACACATGTGCTTAGAGAGAAGCACACTTTCAGCCTCTGCCAGATAAGGCCATTACTAGAGAATGAGATCTAAATCTATATCTAGACCATTCTTGAATGTTAAAAGTCTCCACTGTGAAATAGTTGCTATATGCGTAAAAGCAAAAGCAAGGCCAACAGGCATCCATGTACTGTTGAAAAGCTCAGGAAAACTGTTCCAAGAAAGTTACGCAGCAAGTTTTTTTTTTTTCCACTTGCAAAATTTAGTGGTGAACAACTCATTCTGATTTTGGTACCGTATTGACTTGGTCCAAGTCCACAAGCCCCTCTGAAATCAGAACAAGAATGCCTGCCTATAGCTTTGCAGTGCCTTAATGCCAACATAGCTTCTATTAAATTCATTCAAGACTGTATCTGTTCCCTAGACCAAAATAGTATTTACGGGCCCCCCCCCCCCCCCAAAAAAAAAAAAGATTTCATTTCCCCTCTCTGACTGCAGTCATTTTTTTCTCTCCAGGGGGATTTCTCACTTTCTGTAATTGTTTATCAGCCTGACTGCTTAAAACTCAGCCTGAGTGCTTATTAACTGAGCGCTTAAAACATCCACTAGTTTAATTTTTTCCGTTGCTATGAACAGACGAACATCGCCCTTTTCTCTCTCTCCCCCACCCCCCCACCCCCTTTTTAAAAAATCACGGCGCTCGTAACAAAAAAACGCCCCTCGGCGCAAACGAGAGAAGCGCCTGCGCTCCGCCCCCATCACG